GTACTGTGACACAGCATTCCAGTAGGCTGTTAGGCACATTTTTTTGTTTAATTCCTTTTTGCACATTATCTAATATTATTTTATTTTATATAAATTTTGATAAGTTTAAATTATCTAAGTTTGTTAATTTGTTGAAAAACTTAAAAATCTTAACTAACTATAAAAAAATTTCCAGTAAACATGGAGTTAGTAAACAAGATTAAATAACATTTTTAAATAAGTGTATATAAATATATATTGTAATAGTTTTTATTTTATTATAAATTATTGAAACATAGTTTAAAATTTATATCACTATAGTTATTATAGATTGTCAGGAATTGTCAGGCTTTTTTTATGAGAATTTTATTAAATAATTTTTATTTTGTAAGAAATTGTGATAAAAAGTTGCTATTAGAAATTTTGATTATATATTTTAGTAAATTTGTATAGTTTTTTTCTGTTGTAATGTTTTTATCAAAATATTTTATAAGTAAAACAGTATAAGCCAAGACTTATTTCATAAGATTTATTTGATGATAGTTAAATTATTCAAGAAAAACAGAAATTGTGTAAGTTTAATAGTTTGTGTTTTGAATAAAATGTACTGCATTTAATAATGTGTATGAGAATAGAACAATACAACCACACCAATATAATATATTATGTATGTATATTAAATAAGAGTGTGCAGTAAATTTGTAAAAAAAACATGAATAACCTAGAATAATGTAAAGTTTGAGTTTTTAATTTTCATCTTAATTTCATATATCTGTCATTATTAATTACTGAACTACTTGTTTAAATTATAAATGAATTATTATAAAAATTTGAAAAGACTTCAGAAATTTAAAAATTTAAACAAAGATAACTGTAAAATGCTAATATAAATTTTATACAGAAAACTATTAAAATTATTAGTGTTTAAATTATATTACACCTGTATATTTTAAACACTATTTAAATTTTTGAGAAAAAAATTTTGATATATATGTGAAATAGGGAGTCTACACTAGTATTGTCTATTTTAAAATTAATATCTGATTTTCAGATTAATAATTGGAAGGTTCAATTCTAAAGTGAACTATTAAAGAGACAGCAGGTATTTTAGGAAATATTTTATCTTAAAAAGAAATCAAAATATATTAATGGGTACTATGAATACTTAATGCAATATATAATGCATAAAAATTACAAATAACAGATACAATGTAGGTAATGAAAGAAATTTTAATTTGGACTTGGTTCATTTTAGAACTTGAACCCTCCAATTGATGATAGAATTTTTTTTTTATAAATATCTATTATGAAGTTATAATAGTTTTTGTGGACTTTGATATTATTTATTATTATTAAAACATTGTGCTATTTAATCTCAAAAAATGTTTGTATTTATTAGATTACAGTTACTACCATTGGCTATGGTGATACAGTGCCTAAAACATGGATGGGAAAAATTGTTGCTTCTTGTTTCTCTGTATTTGCCATCTCTTTTTTTGCATTGCCTGCAGTAAGTAAAGTTTATTTGTTAAAAATTAAAAAAATTAATGTTAAGAATGTTAGTGCAAATAGCAGGGAAAATGTTATGTTAAAAGAAGTACAGTAGAGCGTCGATTTTCCGAAAGTCAATCATCCGAAAGAATTCCAGTCNTCATCCGATTTCAAAAATTCTTTCACCAATATTTAGAATGGAACTTCAGGGTGGACATAGGCTGTATATTATTCCGTTAAACATTCATATAAGTTAAAAAGATAGCATCTAGGATTAAGGCTTTTATGTCCAACAGATGGTGCTAACTCCACAAGTACAACAACCTAAGTTTGCTTTTCTGTGAGGATGAACTAAAGCAGATCATCTTCTATCTAGCTATCTATCTATATAAATAAAAATGTAATGTTCGTTTGTTCCTACCAATTCCTTTGAAATTTTGACACAACATTGCATTTGAATACACACGTGTTTTTATATATACAGTCATATCCCGACTTACGCTACCCCGACTTACACGAACCCGGAGTTACGTGATTTTCAAATCTCGTCGATTTGTCTTTTGTTTGAGCGCCATGCAATTTTTTTAATCATGGACATAATAAATCTTTAGAGTGTTTTGAACTGTCATTAAATGCCATTGTTAGTATTAATCTTTATGTATTAATTATTCTTAGTTTTTTTAAACTCTTTTCGCCCTGTGGGCACAAAGAGAGCTGGACACGTGTAGCAAGCTTAAAGGTTGGCCATGCTCATAAAGTGATTGGCTACCACCTTAACCGCTCGGTCATCCGACCATGATTATTCTCACTAACTCAGCTTTTTGTAGCACGCTTGCTTTTTCAGACCTGCCAGATCCACACGCTACGAACCATAATGTAAGTTTTATACGAGAGATCAATCATAGTGTTCACGCGTTACAAACTAAACCTTACAATTTCATATTATCACACATATTCATCAAAGAAATGCACCACAATGCCCATACCCTTCTTATTAAAGGAAGAAGGTGATGAATCACAATATCTATATTTTTCATATTATTGTTATAAAGCAACTTAAATACANCAACTATAAACGGTAAAGAAAAAATTCTCGAAGCTGTAAAAAATTCTCAATCTTTAAATTCAATCATCATTCGTAAACGTCACGGTATTATCGCTGAGATGGAAACAATGTTAAAATTATAATTTGATAATCAAGTTAATGTGAAAAATTGTATAATAACCTAATTTGTTATACATATGTATTATCTAAGATTTTATTAAACATTTTTTTCTAAATTATTGTTTTCTTTAGTCTCCGGTCCCAATTAAAAATTATTTGTATGTATTTATATGCAAAATTATACCCAGACTTACGCGAATTCGACTTACGCGGTTATCGCTCGGTCCCACCTATCGCGTAAGTTCGGGGTATGACTGTACATGTTGAAATTCCCCCCACTGGGAGGAGATGGACAGGATTAAGGCTTACCGTGAAGAACTTGGTTTCTATTTATAATATTTTAGATGTGGTTTTTTGCATTTTTGATTGTGTTTTAATAGAATGTACACACTAAAAAGGGATTTTTCGAAAAAAATTTTCCCTTCACGGGGAAGTGTTATACATTTATAATAGATACATTTTGAGCCACAACAATGCATGGCGGGGTCTGCTTTATATATGTATGTATGTATATATACATATATATACATATATGGATTTGTTTATATGAATAAGTATCTAGTATCTAGTGAATGCTCTCATCATTTAAGGTTATGTTCAATAAAACAATCTCAATTTAAGATAATATAAAATAATTTGTTTTCACTATAACTTTATCCTCTTAACACTGAAACATGCAAGCAAATTTTTTAGACTATATTTGAATGTGTGTTTTATGAAAGCTGATGTTATTGTGTGCTGCTATTCTAACATTATTTTGAACAATTTAAAAAACAGTAACCAGATTGTTGAGATAAAATTATTATTTATAATTATTTCTAATAAAATCCTGAAATTGCTACACAATATGAAAATTTTATTTTCTTCATAGTGATACTAAAAAAAAATTGAAGTTTCTCACAGTTTATATTATTTTAAATGTCAATTTGATTATTATATAGTAAGTTAATGATAACATCTATTATTTTTTTCTGTAAATTATATGATTAATTGCATTCCCTTCTATATTGCCATTATGATGATTGATAAATTATTTATAAAAATATAATTTGTTTTAAATGTAAATTTAACATATTAAATTTTCATATTAAAATTACTGTTTTTGGTTTTGATAATTTGTTGTATTTTTAATACTTTACAGCATGTTTGAAAATTTATTGATTAAAATTATTATTTATACTAAAATAAAAATAAATAATGATTACATTTAAAATATCAAATATTTAAATATACAATTACTTGATATTAAAAAAACAAAAAATATATAATGATGGAAAAAAGATTTAACATGTTGCAAATATTTTTATTTCAGTAACTTTTATTTAAGAATAAATTACTTAAAATTATGAAAATGGTTTGCATAATAATGTGAATCTTTCAATACTCAATAATTAAATTGTAATTTTGATAAGTTTGTTTCGTTAGGTTTAATTAATAAATATTTATAAATGTTTTTTTTTTTAAAGTTTTTTTTATATATATTTCTACACAGCAGACAGATGTACTGTACAAACATTCAGAAATATTAAAGACACTCATTCTATCTTCTGTTATTTATTCTCTGGCCCGAGGACAACAATTAAAATCATCAAAACTGTTTGTTTATCTTATTATATATTAATCTGGCAAATATATTATTATATATTTGCCAGATTTTCTGGCATTTGTGAAGGTTTTGTTAATTCAAAAGAATGCCCACTATGCCTTTGCAGCCAACATGCAGCACAGAATCAAAAAGAGAAAGCAATATATATATATTTCTGAATGTTTTGTACATCTGTCTGCTGTAGAAATTAAAAGGAAACTGTCTACAAGACTGAAAAGCAGTCTAATAGACATAACTTTTTAATAAGTATCTAACACTGTGATTTAAAATGACTAAAATGATACTTTTTACATTGTTATTAATTAAAACATACTGATATATGATCAGTGAAACAGCCCCATTTCTAATTCAACATAAGTACACCCCATTATTCATAACCTTGGATTGGGAATCAAAAATTTGGTAACTTCATCTGCAAAATAAGAATTGAAATTGTGATTCAATGTTTGATTATTGCACGCTGACTAAAAGTGGAAAAATTAAATAATTGTTTTAGTGGAATTTTAATGAATGAATTTAAATAATTGAAATTTTTCTATGTTGTTATTAACAACAAAAGAAAATTTCAATTATAGAAACGGCGACATCCATCCAAAGAATGAATTTAATTCAAAACTGTCTTATATTGCATTATTCATTTTCTTATTTTTTTACCTGTTCTTGTAAAATTAATTTTATAAACTTCTGTTTTATTGCTCTTTTAATTTTGTTCCACATCATATGTAGATGTTATTTATATTATTTTGATTGTTATTTTGTGTTCCTTGTCAAAATCAAGGAATGCTACAGTTCAACTGAACTTCTGTTTTCTAATTTTATTTAAAAACTTTCTTTTGACAAATTCAAGTAGGAAATTTGTTATCATTTTGAATGTACCTTCTCTTTGACAAATCTTGAACACAAATATATATACAGTGAAATGTCAGTATAATGAACACAAATATATATACAGTGAAATGTCAGTATAATGAAATTGAGGAGACCATTGACATATTTTTGTTATACTGAAATTTTGTTGTATTGAAATACAGTAAAAAATGCAAGGATAAAAGAAATTTATTGATGATAAAAAATTGCTTACATTTTGAAGTAAGAAAGTTTTTTAAATGCAATTCGTCTATTAGTATTTATATGGAACCAAATTTCACATTTTCAGAATGTAAGTTATATTAAATTAAAACAAAAAGTAATCTGTAATAAAAAAGTTATCAAAAAATATCATGAGTGAACAACCAAAATAATGATATAGTAGTACCAATTAGTTGGAATCCTGCTTCTTTAATGGTTATTTCTGCTTGAAGCCATTATTTTCTGGTAAAGGAAGTCTAATTTTTGTGTGTGATGTTTCTTTAATCAAAAGTTTTTTTGATAAAATCAGTACTGTGACACAGCATTCCAGTAGGCTGTTAGGCACATTTTTTTGTTTAATTCCTTTTTGCACATTATCTAATATTATTTTTATTTTATATAAATTTTGATAAGTTTAAATTAAATTATCTAAGTTTGTTAATTTGTTGAAAAACTTAAAAATCTTAACTAACTATAAAAAAATTTCCAGTAAACATGGAGGTAGTAAACAAGATTAAATAACATTTTTAAATAAGTGTATATAAATATATATTGTAATAGTTTTTATTTTATTATAAATTATTGAAACATAGTTTAAAATTTATATCACTATAGTTATTATAGATTGTCAGGAATTGTCAGGCTTTTTTTATGAGAATTTTATTAAATAATTTTTATTTTGTAAGAAATTGTGATAAAAAGTTGCTATTAGAAATTTTGATTATATATTTTAGTAAATTTGTATAGTTTTTTTCTGTTGTAATGTTTTTATCAAAATATTTTATAAGTAAAACAGTATAAGCCAAGACTTATTTCATAAGATTTATTTGATGATAGTTAAATTATTCAAGAAAAACAGAAATTGTGTAAGTTTAATAGTTTGTGTTTTGAATAAAATGTACTGCATTTAATAATGTGTATGAGAATAGAACAATACAACCACACCAATATAATATATTATGTATGTATATTAAATAAGAGTGTGCAGTAAATTTGTAAAAAAACATGAATAACCTAGAATAATGTAAAGTTTGAGTTTTTAATTTTCATCTTAATTTCATATATCTGTCATTATTAATTAC